GTAGCAGTAGGCATATCAGGTGCCTAGACTCCATCTGGAACTGCTGGTGGCAGTTCGGTGGTAGCTCGCGCGGGTGCTCTGGCTGCACCATGTGCTCGTCCTCGGCCCCGACCTCTGACGGCTCTCGCAGGGGGCACGAGTGCCTGATCATCTCTGGTAGCGCATGTCCTCACTATCGGTGAGAGAATAGAAGATAGAAGTTTAGAATTGTGCTATCAAAAATCTCGCACGACAAGAAATTCAAATGAAGTGGAATTTTCCTAACGGTTACATAGCCTCCCGTAGATAAGTACAGACGTCTCCGTACTGATCCGCGAGACTCTAATCAATCGGATTGTGATCCATGACTCCTATGAACCTAGAGCTCTGATACCAACTTGTCACGACCCCAGTTCGCGCTTTGTGAACTATCATGATGGCACCTAGTCTCTATAACTAGATAAACCTAACAAATGCAGAAAATAAACAAAACTTGCGGAAGAAATAATTAAAAGCCAAAATAATCGAATGAAACAGTATTTTAAAATGCCACTCGACATATACAATACAGCTTCTCAAAAACGGATACACTTTCTCAAACCCCGGAATCTCATGAAACCACAAGCCTTTGAATATCTAACAGTGTCTAACTCCAGAATATCTAACAAAGAAAAGAAATACAGAAGGGCTAATACTTAAAACCGAGAATGGAAAGGGACTCCTCGATCTGCAAACGCGGAAGATATACTTTGAAGTCTCCGGAGCAGTCGCCTCGCATCAAGGGTGATAGGACTAAGTCAAAGTACCTGGATCTGCACATGAAAAATATGCGCAGAAAGGGCATGAGTACACCACAACGGTACTCAGTAAGTGCTAAGCCTAACCTCGGTCGGGTAGTGACGAGAAAGGTCAGGGCCCTACTGAGGTTAAATAAAATATAAGGGTTAACAGTGTGGAATAAAACTATATAAATAAACGCAACAGTAAAAAATAATATAGAGTTGAAAGAAACAACAACAATTAGAACAAAGACAAAAGAAATATAGCTCAACACAGAGATAACAACCGGGGCACCTTCCAGGATACCGTCTTGTAGTCCCAATTACAACTATCCAGTAGGTCTCCCGGGATACCGTCCCGTAGTCCATCATATATATCCGAAGGATCTCCCGGGATCTTGTCCCATAGTCCAACTATCAGTGCGCGGGGATTTATCAGAATCCCGATCCGTAATCCCAAATATAAATACCCAGTACTGGGAGAATCTACCGGGTGCAGTCCCGTAGTTCCATATGACTGTGCACGGGGATCTATCGGAATCCCACATCCGTAGTCCCAAATAAACAGACAAGGGAGAGCTACCGGAATCCCACATCTGTAGTCCCAATGTAAATACACAGCAGGAAGGGGAAAATATTCAGAAATGACAAATTTCATATTAAGGCAAACAAGTAATTCTAGCCTAGCATGCTGCACAGAATTCAGGTAAGGCAGTTTGAGTAAATGAAGTAATTAAATCACTTAGACATGCTCTCCTAAGCTAACAACAAACTTAATAGTGCAAGTAATAAAAACAGGAAAGGAAACATACTAGTAATTACTTAATGAAAATCGGATTTTCAATAATTAGCACAAGTACGCACTCGCCACCTCTCATACAAGGCATTTCAATTACCAAATATACCAAATCCTAAGGTGCAAGCTACTTACCTGGAACCGGCTCAAAATCAACCCGAAACCATGTTCTTGCCACGAGTACTCGACTCCAAATGACTCAAATCTATTCAATTCAATTGCATAATATAAATAACACTTCAAGTAACTGATTCCACTAATTTAGATCTAAGCTAATACGGGAAATTAGGTAAAATGACCAAAATGCCCTCCGGACCCACATCTCGGAATCGGGTAAAATTTACATTTTCAGAATCCTTATACTCTCACGAGTCTAACCATATCAAAATTATCTAAATCCAATGTCAAATCCCCAATCAAAACTAAAAATTTAGGTCTAAGAATTTTCCCTCAATTTTCACCATAAATTCGAAATTAAAGGATGAATTTAAGTGTAGATTCATGAAAATTAGTCTAAACCGAGTAGGAATTACTTACCCAAATTGCCCAGGTGAAAATCTCTTCAAAAATAGTAATCTCCCGAGCTCCCAAGTCCAAGATATGAATTATGGCTTAAACCCTCGATTTTAGGTTTTAAAATCTGCCAAGGCAATACATTCATTGCGATCGCGGAAGCCCAGTCGCGATTGCAAAGAGCAAAACCCACGCGCCTTAGATTTACTCTACGCAAACGCGGAACCCCGTCCGTAAACACGATGCTTTAGCTACCTCAAACCTACACGATCGTGGTTGGCTTCACGCGACTGCGTAGAGATAATTAATTCCACTGCCGCCTTATTTCTTCAACGCGAACGCGGATTAGCGCACGCGTTCGCGATTAAGCACTGCCCATAACTACGCGTTCCTCTTCAGCGAACGCGAAGAGCAAAATTTCCCTCTGCCTCATCTAAGCCTTCGCGATCGCGATCCTGTCCACGCGATCGCGATGACGAAAAGTCTGCAACAAATACCAGCAAAAATCTGATCCTTCTCCAAGTCCATAAATGGCCCGTTGAGCATCCGAAACACACCCGAGGCCCCTGGGGACCTCAACCAAACATGTCAACCAATCCTAAAACATCATTCAAACTTGTTCCAACCTTCGGAATACTCAAAACAATATCAAAATATCAATTTAATATCGGATTCAAGCCTAAGAACTCCAAAAACTCTCAAATTACGTTTTCGATCAAAAGGTCTATCAAACCTCGTCCGAATGACCTGAAATTTTGCAAGCACGTCACATTCAACACTACGGAGCTACTCCAACTTTCGAAATTCCATTCCGACCCTCGAATCAAAATCTCACTATTGAACTAGAAACTTCAAAAATTCAACTTTCAGCATTTCAAGCCTAAATTAGCTACGAACCTCTAAAACACAATTCAAACACGCTCCTAAACCCGAAATCACCTAACGGAGCTAACGAAACCATCAGAATTCTATTCCGAGTCCGTCTTCACACTGTTCCGAGTACGGTCAAATTTCCAAAACTTAAGCTCTCATTTAGGGACTAAGTGTCTAAAAACTCTCCGAAACTCCAAATAAACCATCCCGGTAACTCACAATAGCAGGAAAAAAACATGGGGATTTTCTTTTTTGGCCAAGTTATTGTACATAACCGTACTTGATTCTATCGTCCATGGTATTTTCTTCTTCTTTTTTTTTCCTCCAAAAAGAAAAACATCAGATAGGTAGAAAAACATCCTTCGTGATTTTTGCTACTTAAATAGATATTTAAATTTTAAATTAAAAAATTCTCTTATATAACAGGGGTCCGTGCTCAAGCATAAAGAGGAAGAGGAAGAGAAAGACGATGAAGAGGAAGATAATGAAGAAGAGGAAGAGGAAGAGGAAGAAACTTTGATCAGCTTGAGGAATTGAAATATCAAATGAAAATGTAATTGGAACAGTTGCTTTGATCTTTCTCAAGATTAATAAAATTAACTTTAATCATGATTATACTTCCTAGATTTCGCCATCAACATTATCTCGCCATCAAGAAGATATAATGTCTCGAGAATCTGATCTTTATTTGAGGCACTAAGTTTAATTATACATTTTCCCTATTATATAATTATTTTATGTATGAATAGAAATAGTTTTTGTGATCCAAACTACACATTTCCAAAGTAAGTGTTTTTTTTAAAAGATAAGATATGATTGAGTTACAAGCCATCGAAATTCATCTTACCCCCATGCTAAAAATTCAGAAAGGAAAAAAAAGGAGAGGAAGGAGATGGCCACTCAAACATGTGACTTTTGAATTGATATTTCTTTAAGAGAATTAGGGGTGTACAGACCAAACCGGAAAATCGTATCAAATCGAAAAGTTAAACTAAACCGATTAAAAAATCCAATTTAGTTTAGTTTGTTTTTGAGTAAAAAAATCCGAACCAAACCGACATATAAATATAGTTTCTTTAAAAAATGTCTAGAAATATTTGGGATTCTCTTGCGGGATATAATATTTAATAGAATATAAAGTGCCCCATATTTATTAATCTTAAATAATTGGTTGTATGTATCTCTTTCTTATCAAGTTATTGAAATGTGTCAATCTCGTTGTTTTTCCATATTCATATTATATGTTAAGATCTATTAAATTCTTATATCTTTTTTGAATGTGAAGTGATTATTATTATTTAGGTATCATATTGATTTTTATGTTTAATTACTAAATTCGGTTAGCCTTGAAAGTGTACCTCAACGAAAAATTATTGTCAGATGACTAAAAAATAACTATTATTTGTTACTAAGGAAATTCTCACATAAGAATATTATAATAGATAATATGTTTGTTAATTTTTTATATTTTTACTAAACATATATTTACTTATAAAAAATTAACAAAGTAATATTTAAGTAATAAAAAATTCGAAAAATCCGAAAAGTCCGACAAAACCGAACCAATCCAAACCGATATAGTTGGTTTGTTTTGGTTTTGATAAAAATCGAACCAACCTAATCCATATACATCCCTAAAGAGAACAGTTAATCTTCAAAACACCTTAAGGTCATAACCTATTTTATCCTGCAGACAAATAAAGAATAAAAATGAAATCATATCCCCAAAATTAAATAACAATAGAAAATTAAAACAAGCATTCCCATACATGTATAAAAAAGTTTACATATATCTGAACAAGAGCTATTACTATCCGATGTTGCTTGTGTTTTGGCTACTGCTTCCCTGACTTTCATACTATTGCATTTTCTTTCTATATACTGTTGTGATTATGCATGCTTGTCTTGAGCCGAGGGACTATCGGAAACAACCTCGCTACCTGAAAAAGGTAGGGGTAAGATTGCGTACTATCTATCCTCCCCAGATCCCACTTGTGGGAGTATACTGGGTTTATTGTTGTATCACTAAACAAGAGAAAATTATAACAAGCGCACGGGCATGCATTTATGAAAAGTTAACATATTGCTCACTACTGGACAACATACTAAGAGTCATAGAATTTAAGACTTGAGAGGATTGTTAATGTTAGAGGCTAACATAAGATACATAAAAGAATGCAAAGCAGCAAAGAAATGGTGTCTGGCTCCTATATTTCAACTACTAGAAACTTAAGTGGACTATAAACTCCTATATTTGGACACACAAATAGTACTTGTACAAGCAACAATTAAATCAAGGAAGACCATTTCTTACAATTAGCCTAATGGATATGGACCTCAATAGAAATTGCATAGTTATCTTGCATGTCCTGTTGAATCTGCTTGGCGGAATTCTCAACAGATTTTGCACACCTCCATATATCAATTAGAGCAAGCGTGGTTATATCTGCAAAATCTTGAGGGATTGAATCCAAATACCAACAACCTTTGAGAAATAGTCGTTCAAGGCACGGAAAATTGTCACAACTGGCTCTCCAGTGCCTAATCTCTAAGTCTTCGAGGAGCAAGAACTTCAAGCGAGGAAATACTTCATCAACTATTTCCCACTCCTTGTCTTGGAAAGCATCATATCCAAGTTTAATGGACTCGAGTTTAGGCAATTTACCAAAACCGCTCAAATCCTTCCAACAAAAAAAAGTGCCACTAAAAGCTAAATTCTTGAGGTTTTGTGGAAAATTATTTGGATGAGGTAGCTGAAAAGGTGCAAAAGCGTCTTCTGCATTAAATAAAGGGGGATTATGGAGCCTCAAACGGCCTTCTGGATGTGTAGTTCTATCCAGAAAGCAACCAAAACGCGGATAAGTAACACAAAATTCCAATTCCTCGAGCTGATCTAAGTTGCAAAAATCAAAGAGTGCATGGTGATTAAAGTCTTTTGGGATGCCACGTATTTGCAACTTCTTTAAGTTGGGAAATAGTCTAAAGACAGAGCCAGTACAATAGCAAGGATTCCATCCAGACAGACACTGCAAATTTTTCAGAACCAAACTTTTCTTCGTAGTCTCGTAAGACTGCAAGTAATTCCAATCTAAAAAGAGGTGCCTTAATTGTGGCATCGCCAAAATTTCTGATGGTAATATGAAAGGAAAGACCAGGTTTTTGGAAATAGGAAGGTAAAGTTTAAAGGTTTGCAGATAACATAGGCTAGATATCGGTGGAGGAATGACTGTTGTTGAGGGAATCTCTTTTCCCGACTCCAAGTGAGGATAAAGAGTCAAAGCAAGGTATCTCAAGTGAATTAGATCAAGTATCCCACTAGGAAAAGTACTACATCTCACTAAAGCAAGATCTAGTACTCTTACTAGCTTGAAACGTAACGACTTTTGCACGAACCAATGCCCTCTAAAACAGATAATAGAACGGGCATCTTTTTCAGGATATATGGCCAATTTTGCCTCAATAGAATCGTCTCGATTGTTCGATTGGATACTGATCCGACTTCGACTCCTAGAAAAATGCATCAACTGTGCACATGGATTTCGATCATTCTCTTCTCCAATAACATTCACAAAATTCATGTTTTGAGCTTCCCTCAAGCATAGTTCACGAATCAAATCATGCATTCCACAACTCTCGATTTTTCCATCAAAACTCAAATTTTGGATTGAAATTAAACTTCTATCTATAAGTTCTTTTAGAAATTCTTCACCCACCTTTTCTATGTTATTCATATCGTCCACCTTCAAAAATCCCTCTACAGCCCATAATTCCACAAGTTTATTGACAAAAATCTGTTCATCCTCTGGGAAGATTGCAAAATACAGAAAGCACGATTTTAGGCGACGAGGCAAGTGATGGTAACTCAATGCTAGCACCCTCATGCATTGGACATCAACATCTGTGCTTACTAATGAACTTACATTCTCAACAACCATTTGCCACTCATCCATTGATTTACCGATTTTGGAAAGAAGTCCAGCAATTACAATAATTGCTAGGGGTAATCCTTTGCAGTTTAATGCAATTTGTTTCCCAAGTTGTTCGAATTCAGGGGGGAAACATTCATTCAGAAAGACCCTTTTGTGCAGTAAATCACAACTTTCATGNTTGTTTCCCAAGTTGTTCAAATTCAGGGGGGAAACATTCATTCAGAAAGACCCTTTTGTGCAGTAAATCCCAACTTTCATGGCAATTCAAAAGGCGCATTTGATAAGGAGGCTTACCTGAGCTAGCATATTCAGCCACTTTCACATTTCGAGTGGTCAAGAGTATTCGACTCCTATTGTTACAGTCTGGGAAGCATAGTTTTATATCATCCCAAGCTGCTTCATTCCATATGTCATCAACGACTATCAAGTATCTCCTACCTTTTAGGAGCTTTTGAAGTCGGTCCTTTAGTTGCCCATCATCTTGCTGCTCATAAGGTTTATCGGTCTTTCCAGTGATAGAAGAGAGAAGGCCTAGGAGTCCTTTTCTCGGACAATACTCTTGTGAAATAGTAACTTTTGCACGAATGTCAAAGCGAGACATAATGAATGGATCACTGAAGATTTTGTTCGCCAGAGTTGTTTTGCCAATGCCCCCCATACCTACAATTGAGACAACTTCTAGTTCACTAGCTCCTCTAGCAAGTTGGTCCTGCATCATCTCGAATTCATTTTCATGGCCGACCATCATATTCTCGGGCTCCAAAGCACGTTCAGATGTAGAGGGAAGAATCGGATTTTGTGCTTTCAGATCTTGGTTGGTCTGTGTTCCTATCCACTTCTTCGCGGTGCAATCAATGTCTCGTATTGCTTGTTTCAAGAGGAAACGAAGTCTCCAAAAGGATATTGTTCGTGAAATTATGTTTATAACATTTCTTGATTCCAGGTCAACCATAACATTTCTTGATTCCGAGTCAACCATATCTTCTGTGCTGCATGCTAGCTCTATCACTTTAGCTTCCAATCTTGTCAATGGACCAAGATTGCCTATCATATTATTGCACGGTTTCTCCGTAATAGCTATCAACGATTCAAGCTTTTCATAGAACGATTGCAGGTTATGTCCAGTAAGTTGCATTGATTGTTGTATGGTGCTCATGAGGGAAGTAATAGCAGCATAAGCCATGTCTCAGTTTCTCTCTTTCTCTCGTATGTAGTGTGTGATAAAAATATGGAGAGTTTGTGCATACACAAGGCAGAATCTCTTTGTGTGATAGTTCCTAATTTCTCAATTTAAAACAGAAAGTGGAAAGGTCTTTCTTTTGTTTGTTGAGATCACAAGTTAGCTTCCATCACATTTCCAGCTTGGTCCACTCTCGTCTCTATCAACCAGTTGGAAGCCTAGCTCTAGTTTTTGTTTTATATTTACTAATCTGAATAGTCCCAAAAAATATATATTCTCTCCTTTTCAATTTATGTGATCGCATATTTACTTTTTATTCCATACCAAAAAGAATGACTCTTTCCTTATTTGGAAATAATTTACCATCATGCAATGATTTATAGCCACATAAAATATATGTGTCTTATTTTACACCACAAATTCAAAAGTCTTTACTTTTTTCTTAAACTCCATGCACAATCAAATGAGTTCACATAAATTAAAATGGTGAAAGTAGTATTTAAACCGTTAATAGTCTTTTTCGTTCCAAAATGTTTGTCACTTTTGCTTCTCCGGGGTCATACTAAGCAAACTTCAATTAATATTTTAAACCACATCACCGTTTTGGGCTAAATAAAAATGTCTTTCAGTATTCCTTTTGTAATTTCAAGATGAATAAAATTCCCTTTTTCAGGAATAAAGGTCCTCTTTTCCTAAACTTTTCCTAACTTCATTAAGAAGAGAAGGTTTCTATGAGAGCATTAGGTAGGAAAGTTTGATTTATATTCATTTGAAGTACCAATGAACTTCTAAGAAAAGTGGTAGAATTTTAGCAAAGGAAATCCTTTATTCACATTACTAGTGGTGTTGACTTTAGAGACTGCAAGACACGTGCTTCCGCGTGAAGTATATTTTTTTATATATGTCTCAATCTATATGACACTTTTTCTCTACGAGATTCAAAATTAATAAAATTTATTAATTTTGATCATATATTTAAACAATATTTTTAAATTTTTTGAAATAAAATTTACATATTTAAAAATTATGTAAAAAGTATTATACATCGTAATAATTAATAATTAAAATATTTAAATTATGGTCAAAGAATTACTCATTTAACTCTCGAAATTCGATAATTTTTACATAAATTGGGACGAAGAGTATATTTTCTTGTGACATATAAACTAAATATATACAAAGTACCAATATTCAACTTCTAAATGAGTGGTGGTGAAAGTTCCATATTTTTTTTCCCTTGAGACAAGACAAATTGCCAACACGGCAAACAGAAGGTTGTTGGAAGTAAACTGAGGTCTGTTTCAAACTTTCAACAAACAAAATTAAAGCCATCTTCTTTGACTNAGGGGGCGTAGACTTCATTTTGCCAAAAGTTAAAATATTTACTATCTGAATCTGCTCAGCTCCTGCGCTGGCCAAGAAATCAAAAGCTTGAGGTGGATATATGTGGTAATTCTTGTGTTATCCTTATCTTTTACGTGGAATTATGGTTGTAATAAAGCGTTGACATGGCGCGTGATGTTGTCACCAAGAGTATAACTACCTTGTTCTCAATTAAGTAGGCCTCATTTGTTTTTATTATAATTAAAATATTTAAATCGATATATATAAATATTAAGATGTATATTAAACTTTGAATACTAAATAATTACGTGTCTATATGAAATTTGTTTTTATTTAAAAATTAAATATAAAATTTACTTAAATACTATTTAATCTAATATTTTATCAATAAAATATGTTTTTAAAAATAATATGGTAGTTGGTGGCGGTTGTGGGTGTCGACTGGGGTGGTGATGTTGGTTGATGGTGTTGGTTGTGGATAGTCGCTAGTAGTGGTGGTGGCTAGCAATAACGATTAATAATGGTGGTCATTGGTGGTGGCAACTAATAATTGTGGTGGATGATAGTAATAATTAATGATGGTGGTGGCTGATAGCTATGGTTGGCGATATATAATGATGGCTGATGTGGTGATCCTGACGTTGTGACTGTGGCTATGTGATAACGGTTGTTGGTCATGATGAATTATAGTATTTGGCTAGTGGTGGTGAGTTTGGGCAACTTACCAAGAATCCCCAAATCCTCCCAACGCCAACGAGTACGGGTAGAAGCTAACTTCTTAAGGTTCTTTGCAAAAGTACCTAGAGGAGGAAGAACTAAAGATGTAGGATACAATGGCCTTCCAATAGTAATAATTTTTCTACCATCTTTCGAATCTTAAATTTCAATTCCTTAAGCTGATCCAAGTAGCAACAATCATGAAAGTCGTTGCCCATGCACTACTAAAAACAGCGTATTTCCATCCGCTATTTCCGACCGAATTCGGTCAAAATTGATCGCATTCCGATCGATTTTAATTGGTCCGAAAAATGTTGGTCGCAAATGTGTACCGATCGAAATCGGTCGGAAACTTCAATGCGTTGACTGACTGTCAAACTTTAATTTCCGACCGAAATCAGTCAGAAACTATTAAATATATATTTTTTATTTTCAAATTTCCGAACGAAATCGATCGTAAACTATTAATTTTTTTTTAATTTTTTATTTCCGACCGAATTCGGTTTTTTTATGTAGTCTTCACGGACGCCACATATTTGCAACTTCTTTATGTTGGGAAGTCGTCTAACGACTGATAAAGGATTCCACCCGGACAAATACTGCAAATTTCTCAGAATCCAACTTTCTCTAGACTCATGTTGATTCAACCGAGATAGACACTGCAAATTTCCCAGGATCCAACTTCTCTCTCTAGACTCATGTTGATTCAAGTAATTCCAGTCTAAAGGGAGATGTCTCAATTGCGATCTCTTGAAAATTTCTGATGGTAATATGAGAAATCGAGAATACTTCCACGCAATAGATGTTGGAGACTTAAGTACTAAAGTTTGCAAATACAGAAGTGTACGAGTAAACACTCAAAGCTAGGTATCACAATTGCAATAGTTCAACTATAAAACTGGGAAACTCATGAAACGTCCAGGAAGCAAGATCTACTACTCTTACTACCCTGAAATGCTTCAACTATTGCATCATTCTTGAGCTTGAGGGATTTTCAATAAAAAGGAAAACAGAACATGACTCATTATTACGAACCATAGACAACCGATTAGCAACAAATTTGGATTATATACTGATCCGAACTCGCTTTGCGGAAAAATGCCTTGATTGTTCATATGGAATTTCATTATCCATAACAACATCCACAAAACTTGATTGTTCATCGCTTCTCCATGACCGTTCCTCGTTTTTTGGAATATTTATGGCCAAAAAATAGCAATTCAATATGATTTTTGATTTTTCGTATGCTATAGTTTACGCCATCAGCAGGAACTCACTCAACGGGCTGTGGATTGCCTAAAATTTTACGAGCCTATTAGAAACGACCTTATAAATAATACTCATCGCTTCACCATGACCGTTCCTCATTTTTTGGCGTTATAGTGTCATAAAAGAGGAACTCAACATGATTTTTGAATTTTCGTGAGCTATAGTCCACTCCATCTGCATGAACTCGGGCAACTGGCTTTGACTCGTCTAAATTTTGCGGGCCGATCAGAAAAGGCCGACTGAACAATAATCATCACTTTGCCATGATCATTCCTCATTTCTTGACGTTTTAGGGCAATAAAATATGAATTCATCACGATTTCTGAATTTTCGTGTGCTATAGTCCAGGCCATCTGCATGAACTCGGGCACCCGGCTCTGAATCGCCTAAAATTTTACGGGCCCATAAGAAATAACTTAATAAATAATAATCATCGCTTCACCATGACCGTTCCTCATGTTTTGGCATTTTAGGGCTATAAAACAAAAATTCATGATGATTTCTGGTTTTTCATGTGCTTTAGTCCACACCATCTGCATGAACTCGGTGACCGACTCCAAATCGACTAAAATATTGCGGGGCCATCATAAACAACCTAATAAACAATAATTATCATTTTGCAATGATCGTTCCTTATTTTCTGGCGTTTTAGGGCCATAAAATAGGAATTCAGGATGATTTTCGAATTTTCGTGTGCTATAACGCCATCTACATAAACTCGGGCGACCGGTTCCAAATCGCCTAAATGTTTTCGGGCTCATCAAAGTGACCTAATGAACAATAGTCATCGCTTTTCCATGATCGTTCCTTACATTTTAATGTTTTATGGTCATAAAATAAGAATTTAGCACGATTTTTTATTTTTCTTGTGTTGTCCATGTCATTTGCATGAATTCCGCCAACCAACTCCAAATCGCCTAAAATTTTACGGACCCATCCAAAATGACATATTAAAGTCATCACTTCGCCATGACTGTTTCACATTTTTTATATTTTAGGATCATAAAATAGGTATTCGCACGATTTTCAAATTTTTGTGTGTTATAGTCCACATTATCTACATGAACTCGGGCGACCGGCTCCGAATCAGCTAAAATTTTTTAGGCCCATCAGAAACGACCTAATAAAAATAGTAATTGCTTCGCCATAACCTTTCCTTATTTTTGGCGTTTTAGGACCATTAAACAGGAATTAAGGACGATTTGCGATTTTTCGTTTGCTATAGTCCACGACATCTGCATGAACGCGGACGACCGGCTCTGAATCGCCTAAAATTTTACGGGCCCATAAGAAACGACCTAATGGACAGTAATCATCACTTTTCCATCTCTGTTCCTCATTTTTGGCATTTTAGGATTATAATACAGGAATTTAGGACTATTTCCGTTTTTTACGTGCTTTAGTCCTCGCCATCTACATGAACTAGGGCGATCGACTTCGTATCGCCTAAAATTTGTGTGTCCATCAGAAATGACCTAATAAATAATAATTATCTCTTTGCGATGATCGTTCCTCATTTTTTGGCATTTTAGGGCCATAAAATAGAAATTCAGGAGGCTTTTGCAAATTTTCGTGAGCAATAGTCTACGCCATCTGCATGAACTTGGGCGACATGCTCCGAATCACTTAAAACAAAATTTGGCCCATTAGAAATGGCCTAATGAACAATAGTCACCACTTTGTTATGACCGTTCCTCGTTGTTGGCGTTTTAGGTCCATAAAACATGAATTTAGTACAATTTTTTGATTTTTCATGTG